AGCAGAGAGCCCGATGTGGGGCTCGATCCCAGGACGCTGGGATCATGACCTGAGCCGAAGGCAGACGCTTAACGACTGAGCCACCCAGGCGCCCCAAGGCACTACTCTTTTAAAAGGATATGGGATGGCATGGACCATGACTGGAGAGAGGAAATTCCTCTTTGCAGCCTCAAACACAGGTTAAACAATCACTTGCTGGGGATGTTGTTCATAATATTCATTTATTATCCTTTTAATGTCCATGGGGTCTGTATTGATGTTCCTGCTTTCATTTTTGATATTAGTATTCTCAGTTAGCCTGGCTAGAGGCTTATTAATTTTATTGATCTTTTCAAATAACTAGATTTGGTTTTGTTGATTTTCTCTATTGATTTCATGTTTTCAATGTTATTGATTTGTGCTTTAATTTTTATTCTAATATATGCATTCAATGCTAGAAATTTCCCTCTAAGCAGTGCCTTTGCTGCTTCCCACAAATTTTGGTAAGTTGTATTTTCATTTTCATTTAGTTGAAAATATTTTAAAATTTCTCTTGAGACTTCTTCTCTGATCTATATGCTATTTAGAAGTATGATGAGTAAACTTGGGAAAATACGTTTAACCTCTTGGGAGCACCAATTTTTTTCCAAACTATAAAATGAGGACAATCAGATCTATTTCAGAGTTGTGAAGGCTGTAATGCTTATGGATGTGAACACATGGGGTAAAGCACAGTGTATGATCTAAACATCAGGCATTATTATCAATTTCTACTTTGAATTTAAGATTCTAGTTCATGTGTTTTACCAAGGGCAAGCCCTTGCCTACAGATGGTAGCCAATTAAATAGTTCTCATCCTGAAAATTAAGCAGACATTTCTTTCTGTTTCAAAAATCTCGGTGAGGCTGGCTAAGGCTTGTAGATTTTTGTCTTTAAAATGGGCAGTGGTCTAGAGATCCCCACACCCCACACCCCAAACCTTGCTCTTGGATGCTCAGACTGAGTTTGGCCTATTCCCTTAAAAAAATTGCTAGTCCAAGTTTTTGAGACTCAATATAAATAAATTACCTTGTTATATGTACATATCAAAATACTCCCTCTCTCTCTGCTGTTGTTGTTTTTAACAAAACCCTTCAACAAAGAGTTTTGTTGGGACAGTTTTGATTTTTGTACTTAACAAAAAATCTAGATAGAAGAATATTGACTAGTAAAATATAACAAATCAGACCTAAGATTGCTTTGTCATGTAGTAATTATCAAGTCCTCCCTACCATGAGTTCTCTATTATGTCAAGAATTCTAGAAAAACTATAGATTCACAGCCACATAGTTAATCGAGTGCTTCAACCATTAAAGGAAGATTTTGGAGACCATATACTGCATTGTGGGGAGACAGAAGGATTTTGGTTCCAGGTTGCAGTCTTGATCACGTCTCCTGCTTGCGCTCTCTCCCCATGGAAATGACTGCAGAAGAGAGAAAATGAGAGAGAAAAATATATTTCAAGAATAGGCAGACAAGAGCTATTAACAAATTTCTGGAAATACTGATGGGCAGTGAAAACCATGGAGAGGAAGCTGAAGCCCAGAAGGAGTAACGTGGAGGTAGCAGTCGAGGTGGGACCAGATTTTTAAAGAATGAGAGTTAGTGATGGGTGGAAAGCATGGTGATTAGTGGAGGGACTGTCTACAGAGCAGGAGACCACTCATCCCCTCTTGTGTGCCAGGCCACCAGCCCAGTGGGCAGGTGCAGAATAACAGCATTCCTGGGCTTCATCCCCAGGCAGAAACTCAAGAATAGCTGCTAAAGAATTGGAGGGACCTGCTTAGAGAGGCCCAGAGCTTCACTAGTCTGTTCCAATCTGCACAGGGCAAAGCAAAGCTGTTCGGTGACAAAGTAGGCTTCCTACACTAATTAGTCTCATCCCTCACTCTGAAATGGGGATGGACAGGCCAAGGTCTGCAACAGAAAAAGACAAAATGAACTTCATGGGAGCAGCTGACCAGGGAGAAAAACAGAGATAATTTAGGGAATAGAAGAGGACTTACAAAAATCCAATTTGTATCCTCAGGTATTGCATTCATGAGATGAAAATAGGCTGGCATGAGAATGGAACCATCAGGAAGTAAGAAAGCCTAGAGCTGTTTACCACATATGCTTATTCTGCACACATCCCCCCACCACCCCCACATATACAACCGTATCACACACACGAACATCCTCTCACATGTTATGCATATCACACACACACAGATACCCCAGATATATACCACACACACACTAAACCATACATGCACATCACACTACATAGCACACCACACCCACATAACACACACCCACATAACATACACCCACACACATGCTACACACAGACTCATACACCCCACACCCCAAAGACCACACACACACACACACACACACACACACACACACACAAACACACACAGAGGATTCTCTAGGCCTCCAGGGTACCATGGAACTGAATTTTTAAAAAAATGCTGTCAATGCAATCATTGTATTTAATTTTAATGGGCTATCTTCTTTCTTCTTTTTCTTGAAAAGGGTAAGCCCCGCTTTTCACCAGCGAAGATAAAATATTTACTGTTTATCTCTTCAAGAGCACTGATTTGAATCTGTAACTACTGCTAGTAGCTCTTCTTGCTGGTTCTTTGAAGTTAAACAGCAACAGCTCCTAATGATCCTAATGATTATACATGGGATCATCAGAAACCCCAGATAATTTCCTAAGATCTGTGTCATGAGGGAGAACATACTAATATATCATCTGTACAAGGTCATGGTAAATGGTATAACATGAAAAACACTTATTTTCACCGGCCAGTGGGGCCCAAAGACAAAGATCTGGCTTCGTGCTATGTCGACGCGGTTCCAAGCCAGTGCCAAGCTCAGCTGGTCTGGGGCCGATGCGTTTGTTCCTGGAAAGGCAAGAAACGAGGCTTTTCTCACTCCAGGCCTGGACCGCCCTGGTTTGGCAGGTGCTGGGTGGTGAGCACGGGCTTCCCTGGGTTGGCTCACACCAGCCTGGAACCAAGCACTCCTGTCTTTTCTCTTGCCCCTGAGTGACTACTCAGGCCCCAAAGCTAAGAACTTCATGTTCTCAAAGAGTTGCCTGGGAGGAGGTTGGGGGCAACCTCTTTCCACGCCTACTTGGCTTGGTCTCCCTGGAAGGGACAGAGGAGGTACCCGGTGACTCCAGGACCCTCATCTGCAAGAGGGCAGGAGCCCTGGGACTGCCCTGGCATCTGCCAGGCCAGGGCAAGAGGTGCTGCCCCTCCAAGCCAAAGGTGAGTACAGGCCAAGAGCAAGAGCCCCCAGCGGCAGGGAGACCAGCACAGGACTACCAGGCCTCTGGCCCGATGGTGACATTCTCCTCTCTCCTCCCTGCTCCCTTATTGTCCCAGAATAGCCAAGAGGCATGGAGGAAATGTGTGTCCTAGAGCGACCCCATGAGTGGCCAGGTCGCAGCCTGTTATTAGGAGCGGGATGGGGAAATTGAACACAACCCTGTGGGATGCAGTGATAACAAATGAAAAATGGTTCATGGTCACCTCTATGAGGAAACCCTTAATGATAGACAAATAGAAACTGGTCTGCCTTCAGCCATCATGGGCCATTGGCACCAACAGAAAACACACCATCCCGGGAAACCCATCATGAACTTTGTCATTCTCCATGACATTATACTGAGATAACTCTAGGCAGCCTGGTGGGCTGGGGATTCTATCTACCAATAGACACAGTTCCTGGCAGAAGAGGGAGTGGGGTTTCCTGGCCATGAGCAAAGCCCCAGGCTAGGCCAGCACCAAGAGGCCAGGAGTCGCTCTTTCCTGAGAGCTCACCTTTCAACAGGGCAGTTAAAATTGCCATCTCGATGTCTTGCTGACCCTCGGCACCCATCCTAAACACGGTGACCTGAAAACGGGTTAATCATGAAAAGACTAGGTAAAGCCAAGTTGAAAATGAAAGGGAGAACTGGGGTGTTTTTTAAAAAAAGGACCATAGAAGGGCGCCTGGATGGCTCAGTCACTGAGCATCTGCCTTTGGCTCAGATCATGATCCCGGGGTCCTGGGATCGAGCCCGGCGTTGGGCTCCCTGCTCGGCGGGAAGCCTGCTTCTCCCTCTCCCACTCCCCCTGCTTGTGGTCCCTCTCTCGCTGTGTCTCTCTCTGTCAAATAAATAAAGAAAATCTTAAAAAAAAAAAAAAAGGACCATAGAACCTGACGTGTGATGCAATGATTCTGAGAGTGCAATAATTTTAAACCAGGTGCTTTTCATTTCCACGAGGGACAGCATTGCCCATCCAGGCTCTGAGTCCTTGCCTGGATCCCTATTTTATTATTTTACCCAATCTGCTTCAACACCCTCAAGACGAAAAAGCCCATTCAGGATCTATGTACTCCAATATCTAAATCGCTATCAGAGATGACACAATCATTTCTACTCAGAAACATGCTCCATTCGTAGGAAATTTGTAGATTTAGAATTTTAAGGGGCTGCCTTATGAGTGTATTCTCCTACCAGCATAATTCGGGAGGGCAAGGAGTGGGAAATAATTACTGTATTTGGAAAGTGAAGGAACAGAATTTTGTAAGCACACCTAAAAGGGTGTGTCTGTCACCCCTCAAGCCTTTACATATGATTAATGTCATAAACCTCAGAATTAGTGTGATGTGGCATGGTGTCACCTGACGTTTGCTAAGATCTGAAAGCACCCGGGTCCCTCCTCTGCGCATGCGTATTCTGCTTCCATCACGTGGGCAAAACGGCCAGTTTGGTAGGGATTTGTAAACTGCCCCTTGGCAAAGCCTAAACTAAAATATGAACAAATCCATCATGCACACATGGGTAGAATTAGCAAGGAAACATAATTCTCTCTGTGGAGCTGGTTTGGAAATAAACTCAAGACACTTACGAGTTCTTTCTTTTTCATGCACTCCATTATAATTGCAAACAGCTGATGCGATTGGGTCTTGTTGTAATTAAATGTTTTCTGAATGGTAACTAGAAGCTGATCCTTGAGGGATTCATTTATTACCCTGTTCAAAGGAAACGCGAAAGGGAAGAAAACAGCACGAGTTAAATCTGTACGGGAATAAATCAGACAGTTCTATGTCCGTCTGGTGTCTTTGACTTGAAACTTTACCATTGGAGGGAATCCCAGGGTAGTAGACAAAAAGGGACTGCAGTCAAAAACTGCATTCACACGTGTCCTAAATTCCAGGCTTGTTGAAAACCTTATAAGGGAAAATGCAGTTGGAGGAGCGTGTATTCCCCCTAGAGAAAGAATTCCGTAAGAAACATCAGGCTCTTGACGGCTCCCTCACATGCTGACCTCAGAAAATGGGAGAGCTCTAGTAAATCTTCATTATTTAGCATTTTTGGAATGGCTAAATGTATCATTAAAGTTTTCTTCTTGGCCTGACAAGAAGGCAGTTAAAAACCCACCCTCTGTAGCACATCAGAAATCCTACCCTCCTTCTTCACAGTACTTGTGTGCAAAAGACAGAATGTCCGAGGCTCGTCCACTGCCATCACAAACCACCACGGGGACCGGAGGGTCTTCTCGGAGATATTCCAAGACAATGGAAACCACGTTAGGGCCTCCTTCCACCACCAGACCCACGAGGGGCACACCCTGCCCCAGTCCTGCAACATAAAACACATTCATCGTAGAGACCAATGTCACAGCACACATTACATGGGAGGGCGAACTTGGGCCACCATCATCAGTCCGTCAGTGACTAACATGTTCCCCGAGTCCTCCCTCTGTCTCTGTCAGATAATAGGACTCTTCAAGAACCCAGGAGGAATAGGCTAACTTAGGGAGGCAGAACCCACAGGGTGAACTCTGAAAAGCAGGAGGTAGCTGGAGGACTCCAAGAACCGGAGATTCTGGAGAGCAAAGTCAGTGGGAGTGGAGGAACCACCAAGACACATTTGTCTACTTAACAATTTTACCCCAGACTGGGCAGGACAAGGTTATATGTTGAGCATGTTTCACCCAGGGTCCCTTGGTTGTGATGGGAGTTACTTGACAAGCATTTTAATGAATGGCAAGTAGGAGAAATGTCCTTTGTCTCATTGTTCTGAAGGCCTTCAGATAAAATCTGCTAGCATAGGAGGAGGAAATCTAAACATTTCAAGTGGCCAAATTCAGAGTTTCTGGTTTGCTTCCATGATGCATTTCTATAGTCAGGAAGTCTTAAAAATTTTTTGAACACCTTTGTCTTCTCCCACCAGGATAATCTCAGTTAAGTTCATTTCAGTGAATATGCACTTAGGGTCTGCCTTGTGCCAGGCCCTGGCCAACAGATACTGGAAAAATGGATCAAGATGATGTGGACCCTGCCTTTGAGATTCCCAACCCAATCAAGGCTTGCCATTCTAGATCCTCAGGAATAGGGTAGCCAAATCACTTTATTTTCTTGAAACAGGGTAAAATTGGTTCTTCTTGGTTTACACTGGACTCCCCAAAGCTCCAAGCTGTGAGAGGTGACGACTGAGCACCCCTTTGCTGTCCCTGCCCCACTCAGAGCCCTAGGCAAAGGATGACAAAGGGAAGCCCACAAGTCACATGGCCAGATGAAGTTGGGTAGTGTGAAAACTTACAAGTCCAAGACAATGAAAAATGTGAGAACAAAAAAGTCAGTCTTCAAGCAGTTTATCAATTGAGATTTGAATCTTGGAAATCCACAGTCCCCTTAGCAGGCAAGTGTTCTAACCACTATAGGCCCCCTCATTAACCTTGACGATGACCATGTCCAGGGCTTAGAGTGGCTTTCACAAAAATCTTATCAGTAACGGTAAAAACAAAATACTCTTTAAAATCTTTTCGTAATATTTTGGCAATAAGAACCGCTGGAGTATGAACGTGTTCCAAGAGATGACAGCAGTTATTTTCATTCTAACTGGTATTGTTTCATCTGGTTGCGGTTTGTTCCTTTCTCTTGAGCTTGAGCTCACCATCTTCCCGTGGGCGGCAGCTCCACTGCAGGGCTGTGCCATCTGGACCAGCACAGGTGGAGCCCTGAGGAGCAGATGGTTCCTGCAACCGTGTCTACAGGTTTCCCCACCCAGCCCGCCTTAGTCTACACAGCTATCTAATGTAACGATTACACTAACACTTAGTTGATGGAAGGAATCCTACTATGTCTTTGAGTGAGAAGTTTTCTTCCCGTTCAGACATTACAAAAATACCTACGGTAATTATATTGGGCAACATGGTGGGCACTGCCATCACCATGGCAACCGTTGCAGGGCTGTTTCTTGCACCGTCCCTCCCTTGAACCCGGTGGGCAGAGCATCACCATACAGCTCAGGGATTGTGATTTGACAGGTGGCCAGGGTGAGGGGGCTAGACAAGTCTGTTGATCTTTTGATCTGATAAGAAGCAAGGTGAAAGCTCTCAACACCCTTGGGAAGTTTCCTTTTAGCCCAGGTTTCATGGCAGCAGCGGCAGCCCAGCGCCCATGGCCTTCCCTGGAACTTACTTGTGTTAATCTTCTGCAGAGAGATGTGCTTTTCCAGCTGCCTCCGCAGCTTCACCTCAGCACCGTATTTGCCCAGGGTACCGTTGTCAGCCAGGATGAAGTGAGTGTGCGAGTTGTTGAGCAATGAGAGCTTGCTCAGGGGGTTGGACATGGTCTGGTACACTCTCGTTACCTGACAAAATGCACAACACAAATCCGAGCTGCAGAACTCAGACGTGAAGACCCACAGGGGGAGCAGGAAGAACACATATGTGTACAGTGGCTGCTGGGTCTGATCGTGCACTTAAGCCGACTTCCACTTCCCTGTCCTCTCTATTGAAGAATTTCTTTTTGTAAATTTCTATATTACATTAGAAAAAAATAAGTTATTTTAGATAACGACAACCCAGCATTTTAGATAGTGATGGCCCAGCACTTGCATTCCTGGGCATTTACTGCAGAGAAATGAAAACTGACAGTAACACAAAATCCTGTACATGGATGTTTGTGGTAGCTTCATTTGTGATAGACAAACTGGAAACAACTCAGATGCACTTGAACAGGTATGTGGCTAAACAAACAATGGTACATCCATACCATGGAATACCACTCAGCAATAAAAAGGAATGAACTATTGATACACATGACCACCTGGATGGATCTCTAGGAATGTGGAGTAAAAAAAAAATCCTTAAGGTTACGAGTACATGATCCCATTTATAGAACATTATTGGAATAATAAAATTATAGATATAAGGGGCAGATTGGTGGCTGCCAGGGGTTAAGGAGGTAATCGGGCTGGGAATGAATTAGGTATGGATATTAAAGGGCAACATGAGTGATCCTAGTGGTGATGGAAATGTTCTGCATCTTGGCTGTATCAATGTCAATATCCTGCCTGTGATACCGTACCATAGTTTTGTAAGATGTTACCATTGGGGAAGGGGGGCAAGGGCATATGGGACCTCTGTTATTTCTTACAACTGCAGGGGAATCCACAATTATCTGAAAATAAGGACTTTGATTTAAAAAAAAATTGCCAATATCTGGGAAGAAAACACTTACATCCTTTCCAACCAGGTCTTCCTTATTTTCCACGATGCCCCATGGAGCAATTCCTATAGCACAAACCCGGCCTCTGGACTTGGAGGAGTGGTCTTTTAAGGCATCCCCTACGTGGCTGATAACACCTGTAAGCAGCCATGAATCATATTTTTAGGCCCATTACCTCCCATCATATCTTTATTTATGAACTTTAGGGACCCCTTCTCTGAGCCACTCCATTCCCTATGGAATAGGGTTGAAGCATAATGATCTTCATCATTAAAAGAAAGTATATCGAAAGTCTGAGTTCATAATACTAGTCATTCTGCATTAGCTCTTAGAAAAGGGAAACCAAAAACCAAAAACCAAAAACCAAAGCAATGGTGCATGGACTTCCTTTACAAATTTCTGAGGCCTAAAGATGGAAGTAAGTGGGGTTCCTTGGCAATTCTTGGCTGCATTTAGCTAAAATTGGGAGTCAGACTGCCTGGCATGTCCCTAACCTCTCCCTGCCTCAGTTTCCTCTCCCATAGGACAGTGGAAAGGATTGTCAAGGGCCTCAGGGCTCAGTTTAAGGAATGGCACATCATGGATGCCAGAAAGGTTGACCATTATCACAATCATATCAAAATAACAAACTAGCTACTGGATAAAGATTTCACTTCTGTCATAAATATTGTTAGGTTGCAATACGTTTCATTTTTTGATCTTAATTATTTGAAAGCTCTATGGGAACCACTATGACTTCTGGGTTTGTATGTTTATTGCAAGGGAATAAGGCTGCTCTTACCGGTACTGACACCCCCAGTGAAGATCCAGGCTCCAGTGGTCATGGCAGCCTTGATCAGACCTCTCCCAAAGACCTGTTTCAGCTTGGGTTGCATCTCAAAGTTCTGGAGGCCTCCGTGCACAGATATTAAGAGCTTGGGAAGTTCCAGCTGCCAGTCTTTCACCATAAGATGCAGCAGTGAATCTGGCTTGGTGTCATAGGATACTCTGATATACTGCAAAAGAGTATGTGACACTCAGCCCCGTGCTTGGTTTTCCTCTCGTATCACAGGGAAACAGGGCTACTGCTCTTGTCCAAGCAAAAGCTGTCTTGGCTTTCTGTTCCTCTGTGTGAGTCTGTGGCCAAGTGAGGGAAGGGAACTTTGGAAGAGTTGCCAGATTTAGCAAATAAAAATATAGGACACTCAGTTAAATTTGAATTTCATGTGAACATTGAGAAATGTTTTATTGTAAGTATGACTTAATGCCATATTTGGGACATACTTATACTAAGAAGTTATGTTCTTCTGAAATTCAAATATAACTGGGTGTCCTGTGTTTTACCTGGCAACCCTTGATCTTGAAGAAATCAATTCTAAATTTGGCTCAGCTAGAACCATGGCTCCAGAGGTCGGACAGAGCAATGCTGAGGGAGTGGTCCACTGGCCACACTGAGTGGGTGCTGAGAAAGGGGATCCTGGGCCAACCTCTGGACTTGACCTTCCCCCCAAGGTGAAGAAGAGGTTAATGGTCAGGTATCTGCCTTGGCCCCTATGAACCACTTCTTTGTGTCCATGCCGATATGTAAGGTGCCATTCCAGAAGTCCCTATGTTGTGCTATTTGGAATACAAATGAATTTTATTTGCACAATGATGTTGGGCCAGTGGAATAAAATGAAATTGCAAAAATGATCTGACTGGGCATGTGGGAGTATTATTCAGAATTAGCTGAAAGGACTCACAGTGTTAACGCCTCCCCTCTCTGCCAGGGCTCATCAGAAAGGCAGAGGGCACTCCCTGTTTACAGGCAAATGTGAAAGACCTTAGTCTTCTTGGGCCAGCTGAATGCCGGCCCAGGGAGGCTGTGGATGGACTTCAGAGGGAAGTTTTTTTTATTTCCAGACACTCCTAACCCATTTAAGGGGGGTGGGGGCTTGAAGGTCCACAGTCATAAAAAACAAAATCAAACCCCAAACAACCCCAAAAAACAAATAGCGTAATTTCTCACTCATCACTGGAGATGGAGTGATGAGTATGGTTGCAGACTTGGGCCGGAGCATGATTTGTGGATTCACAATTCTGGTATGAATTTAGTGACACTGCATGTTTGTTGTTGTTGTTGTTGTTGTTTTTATAATAGTGCTCAGTTTCCAAATCTCATGACTAAAAAGTTGAATGTGCAGTTATATTTCTTGTCTTTGCAATGAAATATCTAGGAAGACTGAGCCACATCCCTGAAAGAAGACCCAGGTGTCTGCGTGTCTGGGGGTCTGGGAGGCTGGGCCTCTGATGGAGACTGTGCGCTCAGCAGCATCCCTTCCGAAGGCCTCTCTTACCATGGCTTTATTAGAGTATCCGCCACCCTGGAATTCAAGAGTTCCATAGGAATCTGTTGGGTAGCTCTGGGTGTGTTTGCTGACAGACCATTTTTCGGGCTGAGTCTCCACTTGTTTACTTTCCTCTTCATTTTTGCTGGATGTTATACTTGGCAGAGGGGGGATATGCTGGTTGGTAAGCTGGCCACAGCAACACCTGAAAACAAAGGTAAAACAGTATTTCTATAACATTTTCCTCCTTAAGATGAGTTAATCTAAACAGAAGGGTAGCACCCGAATAGGGGCAGACTAACACCTTACTTACCTGGCTTTGTAGGGATAGAAATGCCCCTTATGATGACCTTTTCCAGAATAACCAACATGTATCTATTTATACACCAGTCCGTTTAAAATATATTGGATGGTTGCCCTTCCTTACTGAAGATATTTTAACTCTTTTTGATGTCTTGAAAACATCAATATGGGCATCAATTGTTGAACATTCTGTGACAAAGTATAACCATGCCTTCCAGATATAGAGATGACCTCCCAGGATTTTTCAGTATTGTTGAATTCTTCTGTTGCTTTGTAAAACATTTCTCTACATAAGTCACATTGAGAATATATTTCTTTTGCTGCTTATACTTTTATTATCATATTTAAGAATCTTTTGCTAAATCCAAAGTCATGAAGATTTGCTCCTACGTTTTTGCCTAAGAGTTCTATAGTTTTAGCCTCTACATTTAGGTTTTTGATACCTTTTGAACTAATTTTTATATATGATGTGAAGTAAGGGTGTAAATACATTCTTTTGCATCTTGATATCCAGTTGTTTCCGTTTCCATTTGATGAATAGGCTATTCTTTCTCCATTTGTTTTGGCAACCTTGCTGAAGCATTGATTGTCCATAGTTGTATGGGTATTTCTGGATTCTCAATTCTATTCCATTGATCTGTATGTCTATCAGTATGTCACTACCACACTACTTTGATTACTGTAGCTTTATAGTAAGTTTGGAAATTAAGTACTGTGAGTCCTCCTACTTTGTTCTTTTTTAAATAAGATTGCTTTGGCTATTCTGCATCTCTTGCAGTTCCATATCAGCTGGCTTGTCAATTTCTACAAAGAAGTGAGCTAAGATTCTGATAGGGACTGCATTGAATCTGTAGATCATTTTGTGAATATTGTCATCTTAACAATGTTAACCTGTTCTGACCCATGAATATGGGCTATATTTTCCAATTATTTAAATCTTTGTTAATTTCTTTCAACAGTGTCTTGTACTTTTCAGAGTAGAGGTTTTGCACTTCTTTTGTAAGTTGATTCCAAAGTATCTTATTCTTTTATTTATTTATTTTTAATTTTTTTTTAATTTAAAGTAGGCTCCAGGCCCAGTGTGGAGCCCAGGGTGGGGCTTGAACTCACAACCCTGAGATCGAGACCTGAGCTGAGATCAAGAGTCCAACGCCTAACCAACTGAGCCAGCCAGGCACCCCAGTATCTTATTCCTTTTGATGATACTGTGAATGAAATTGTTTTGTTAGTTTCACTTTCTTATTGTTCATTGCAAGTAGATAGAAATACATATGATTTTTGTATATTGATTTTTTTTTTTACACTGCAACCTTACTGAACTTGCTTGTAAGTTACAATTTTTTTTTAGTGATTCCTTAGGATTTTCTATATATAACATAATGTCATCTGCCAATAAAGATAGCTTTACTTCTTCCTTTCCACTATGGATGCCTTTTATGTCTTTCTTCTAATTACCTTGGCTAGGATCTCTTATACAATTTTGAATAGAAGTGGTGAGAGTGGACATCCTTGTCTTTCTCTGATGTTAGGGGCAAAGCATCCAATCTTTCACCATTAAGTAGGATGTTAACTATGGATTTTTATAGATGTCCTTTATTAGACTGAAGAGGTTCTATACCTATTTCCTAGGGGTTTTTTTTAATCATAAAAGGTGTTGCATTTTGTCAAATGCTTTTTTGCTGTCAACTGAGATGATCATGTGATTTTTGTTTTTTATTCTATTGATGTGATGTATTGCATTAATTGGTTTTCTAATGTGAAACCAAACTTGTGTCCCTAGGATAAATCCCAGTTGATTATGGTGTATAATTCTTTTTATATGTTGCTAGATTTGGTTTGATAATATTTGTTCAGGATTTCTGCATCCATACTCAAAAGATATTGTTGTATAGCTTTCCTTTCTTGTGATTGTCTGGTTTTAATATCCAGGTAGTATTGGCCTCATGAAACTGGAAACTGAGTTGGGGAGTGTTCTCTCATCTTCTATTTTTTTAATTTTTTGTGAAAAATTGGTATTAATTGTTTTAAAAATATTTGGTAAAATTCAGCAGTGAAGCCATTACTTTGTGGCTAATTTTTGATACTAATCCTATGTCTTCATTTCTTATAGGTCTATTCAGATTGTGTATTTCTTCCTGAGTTAGTCTGGTAGTTTGTGTCTTTCTAGGAATTTGTCCATTTCACCTAAGTTATTTAATTTATTGTCATCGGTGTATAAATCATAGCATTTCTCTGTATACATTTCTATTTCTGTAAGATTGGTAGTAATGTCCTTTCATTTCTGATCTTAGTAATTTGAGTTTTCTCTCTTTGTTTCTTCATCAAGTTAGTTAAAGGTTTATGAACTTTGTTGATCTTTTCCACGAACTAGCTTTTGATTTCATTTATTTTTCTCTGTTTTAAAATTTTCTATTTTATTAACTTCCATTTTATTCTTTATTATTTCCTTCTGCTTCCTTAAGATTTAATTTGCTCTTACTGATCCCAGAGGGGGAAGGAGCAGAGCTCTTTTGGTACAAACAGAGTCTAGCCTTTCTTACTGAATTTTTGTTGGCTTTTTTGAATAGATATTTCTTTATTTCCTATTGGCCCTTGGGACCATTTCCAGGGACTTTAAATGGTTGTTTATTCACTCCAGGGTTTTTTTTAGCCCATGCTAGAGAATGCATGCAACTCACAGAGGAGTCTCATGTGTGAGTCCCTGAGGCCCATTCTGCTTCTTCCCCTGCGTAGCCACTTGGCTGTGTGGGGGACTGCAAAGCAGCAGGTGCTAAAGAGGGCTGGCATAGGTAGTTTCCATCAAGGAGGATCTAAGTGCCACTGAAATAAGAAAGGACATTTATGTGCAACAAAAGGAAGACTTTTATGATCTTTGGCATTGTTCCCCTAATGCATATTTCTTTTTTTTTTTTTTTTTTTGTCATTTGTTTTTCTTTTTTTTTTT